GGCATAGCTGGGCCCCCTTGTGCTGCTCGTGGCTCGGGTGAGCTGGGTGGCTCCGAGGTGTGGTGGCAGGCAGGGGGGCCTCCTGCTCCCCCAGTCTGGGGGCTGTGCTCACATCCCTCTGTTTCAGGGTGCAAAGGAGACAGCACAGAGCAGTGCTAGGACCCAGCCCAGCCCCGCTGTCCCCATGGAGGAGAACTCCCTCTATTCCTCCTGGCAGGACCGTACGTGCAACGGCAGGCGATAGGGTTGGGGTGGGCTCTGTCTCAGCGCTGCGGTGCTGACCCCTGCCTCGCTCTGCTCCTGTAGTGACTGAATTCCCAGTGGTGGTTGTCCAGACGGATGCGGCCACACGCTGCAGCTTGCACGGGCACTACCTCCTCTCGCCCCTTCCCCAGAGCCTGACGCTGAAGGACCCACAGTCCCGCCAGCCCCTGTTCACCTGGCCCTACCCCTTCCTCCGCAAGTTTGGCCAGGATCAGGTGGGTGTCCCCATTCCCTCCTTGGGGCTGCTGGCTGCCTAGGGCGGTTGCCAGCCCCTCACCCTGCCCTCTGGCACGGTCTTCTCCTTTGAGGCGGGCCGCCGCAGCGACTCCGGTGAGGGCACCTTCACCTTCAGCACCCCCCGGGCCCTGGAGCTCTGCCGGGCCGTGGCTGCTGCCATCGCCTGCCAGCAGCAGGGCAAGGATACCTCAGACGCCCGTCTCTTCTGTGTCACAGACCCCCAGCTCTCTGCACCGGGCCTCGAGTCTCAGTCCTGGGGCCCTGGGGCTGAGGAGCCTCAGCCCAGCCCACCCCTTGGGGGGGCACAGCCTGCCTCCCACGCCCCTGCCAGCCTCCTCCACTTCCCCCCGCCGGAGCCGGAGGCCACAGGCCCCATCGTCTATGCCTCCATCGCCCGGGGCCAGCAGCACCTCTTCGCACCAGTGCATCCGGGCTCCAGTGAGCCCTGGGCCCCGGGGAAGCTGCCTCCTGAGCATCTCTATGAGAACATCTTCGCCACAGAGCCGGGTCCAGCTGGGGCGGAGGAGGAGGAGGAGGAGGAGGAAGG